CACCCGCCTTCGCATCCCATTTGTAGGCGATTATTTATCATGAAATATAGTAATCTTGTTTATCGCCTGATTCATCAACTTATACATCATTCGTGATAACTACTGGTTCTTATGGTGCAAATGTCGATCCATCAGGAGCTCTTGCTTACTGCAAGATTTCTTTAGCTTACATATTATTGAATACATTCGGTTGGAAACTGTCTATTTCCATCGAAGTTTGTGTCGTTTTACTGGAGATTCATTTTCACTCATTCATCATCAGGACCTGACACTTGTCTATGATCGTCAATATGTGATTAAATGTCTCTTCTGAGGTAGTTTCATTCATTTGGAATCTTATCTCCCACCATTTATTTGTTACAAACGAAAGGTTTATCATTCACTTTTATTAATTAGTTTTGAGATAGTCAACTCAAACCTTTGGCCACATTAACAATTATGATACTGTAAAAAAATTTTAATTTTTCTTAGTATTTCTTGGCCTCTCTACAACTGAATGATCTCATAAAATCAGCCTGTGTTAAACTCTTTAGTTGAATTTATTTTTTTACCTCAGTTCATTTTGATTTTACTATGCTGATTACTAGATAATGTAAATTGGTAGGTGTAGTTGTTCATTTTGTTGTCTGCCTTGAATTGCTTTTCCTTATAAGTGTAAGAAAAGGCTTATAGCTTACCCCTTTGTAGATGTGACGACCAAGATGTTATGACCTTCTGATCGCAGTCTCCTTTAGCTATAATGTTGGTTTGACCTCGTTTTCTCAACTTGGTCAGGGTGACAGATACCTTATGGAACGTACCTAATCCTGCGTCCTCTGCTATAATATTCGTGATTTTTAGCATCGGCCCATTGAATTGGTACATTCCATAAGTTTCGCTGGTATCGTCAGTGAGAGGCTCTATCGTTAGCACGGAGTTATAAGGCAATCAATCTCCTTGACCAATTTTCTCTTTATCTGTTGTGGCATCGTCCCTCACCCCTATTTGTGTCGTAGCCTTCATCACTATCTATTTTAACCCCATTTCATATGGCCCATTTACTTATTTACATTATTCTATGCTCGTTTCCTCCAATGTCGCATAAGAGTGCATCACTACAGGTGGATCTAGTGAAGCTTAGTCATCTTCACCGTTCCAGATGCCGTTTGCAGGGCTTCCGACTTTTATCCCGACTCCTCTTTTACTCCGCTTGTCCATTGATCGCCGCTACACATCAAAATCACTGCCTAGCTATCTATGCGCCTCCAATTACCGTCCTCGTTTACGTTATATTCAAGGATTTAGAGTCGGCGATGTCTATGCCTCGACATCTTCTCCCTAGGCTTCAGGCCCATGACCCAGTTATCCTCTCATCCCCACCATTGTATCTCATTCTTTAGAACCCTGTGTCTAGCTTTATTCAGAACTGCTGGTGTGAAAATGCATTGCTTCCCTTTTTTGACTCGTGAATCGCATAAAGCACACTCAAGATGGCAGTCTCATCTAATTCTATGGTACTAATAAGTTGTGCATATGTACGTTGGCTGCTATCCTCCTCTGGTCAGGGATGTTATCATTCACCTATCATTAAGGTACACATCATAAGAATGGACACATGCACACTGGGGATCTATTTCTGGTACACCAAACCTTTAGCCTATGATCTATAATTAAGCATAATCTGCCTGTTTTTGCCCTTTATTTTCCTACTACACATTCCACAAGTAGGCCCACACCTGCAAAGTGTCAGGCTGATTCCGCGTCGGACTTCTCTCACTGCAATCTCCTTTGATTTACTTCCCTTTGTTCCTCATTGCCTCTCCTTGGCCCAATTGTCTTCTTTTTGCTATCCTCGTTGAATCTCCAAGTCTACTCAGACAGCACACAAAATTATCGCTGACTTCTTCCATTCTCTGATTCATCAGGTTTTTTTGAAACAATGTCCACAGCCTCTGACTTTCCATTTGCTGGTGCTCTCTCCATGTAAAGACATTTTTTTCGTTGTACTCCAGTCAATTGTGTGGCTGGTAAGGGCGATGTATTCAGCTATCTCTGCTCTGCAGTCACTGGTTTTATTTGATCCTTTAGCCGATTGTCCTTTCCGTCTCTCCCATTATTTTTGCGATTTATGCTGTAAAGTCTGGAGTACTCCATTTTTATGACTTCATTTTATGTGGGCAAGCTGGTGAAGAGGATTGTCCTTTTCTTCAGGATTGTACAAATATTTCATTTCATTAGTAGTGGCCTCAGCTTCAAAGCTAGTTCTCAGGGCAGCCAAATCAATCGCTTTTTCTTTGTTTTCCTTGCTTCCCTTTCCTAATCCCCTTCCTTCCATATGTTCATAACGATTTGTATGTCACGTTGTGTTGCATCTTCTGGATGTCCGTTTCCAAGACATGTCTGGATTAGTTTTTTCCAGTTCCTCTTCCGAGAACTCAATCGATTTCGTAGGCTTCTTATGACCATGCTCCTGAATATTCCCATCTTTATTCCATGAGTATGATTATACTAGATATTAAGGATTATTATTGCGTGTTATTTCTTTCGCAATAGCCGTTTCTTAAGAGTCCCCTCTGAGCGAATGACTTTATCTGCGTAAAATAAGTCTCCGTTCTCTTCTACATCCATTGTAAGTTTGACTTTTTGATCCGTGCCATTCAAGAAGATCAGGAAACCATATAATTTTTTTGTGACCATAGTACGAAGTAGTCATCCAAATATCACATGCTCATTGTTGGCTGCCGAGGGGAGCGTTTGAAATTCTCCTCCAACTTGTTCATGCAGGCATTAGCCAATAGAGGTGTGAGTGATTAGCCCATAAGCAGACCAAATATTTGTTCATACATACAGCCGTTGAGCGTAAAATAGGAAGTTCATATTGCTAGGTTGATTAATCGGGTTAAGGATTTTTCGGATTTGCTCCTACTGGATATCATCTCTTTACAAGATCGCCAGTAATACCATGACTGCTTATTCTCCTATGATGTTACTGTACATCAGAGCTTACTAAAAGTTAGTTTCCTTTCAAACTGGTGCCTTTGATTATTTGGCTAGATTCGTATGAGTTCTTTACTGTATTCGATAATTTTTAATTCACTTTCTTTATATTGAGGCATAAATTTAGCAAATTTATGTGTTGTTCCGTGTTTGTTGCTAATTATTGGTCTCAATGGTTCTCCTTCTTTGTGTACTTTCTGCAAACCGTATGCTACCGGGGCTCTTGCATCCCTTCGTAGGAGTGAATTCGTTGTCATTAGTCGATTTACTCGTTTCTATTCATTTATTTCAGCATTTGTTGTAGAGCCCCTTTGATTTTAACTATTTGATCCTTTTTTAACAGTTGATTAGTTGTCTCCAAGAATATTCTCCATTTTCTCTATATATTCCTTCCTGTTTATCACTACTTTGGCACCTCTTTTGTCGGCTTGTAGAACTACCTGATAGTTCCTTTTAAATTCTCTTTATTTCTTGGTTATATTGTTCCTATCCGTAGGCTCTTGATTCGCCAAATATTGCACAATTACTTGATAGTGAAATTAAGGTGTAGATTTCATTTAAAAAGCCCTGCATATATTGCAAGACTAATAATTTATAGCTTAATTAGACCTACTATGATACACGTTAGTCGGATGTCCTCAGATAGGTATTTTTGAATTGGGGACTTAGCAGGATAGATGATTATGGTTAAACTGGGCTTAACAACCGTCTCAAATGATTGGTATGGTAGGTCACTTATGTATCAAATTTAGGGCTCATTTATCAGGGCTCTTTCAGCAACGTTAAACCTCAAGTGATTTATTTAGACTCATGTATTTATTGGCTTAATTTCAATAAGCAAATTTTCGTCTTAATCACCATGATGGAGATTGGGTTGTCATTTTGATTTCACTAACCGAACTTCATGTAACATGCTAGCAAGAACTTCTTTCGAGACTCTGATGCTAAATGACGCACTCTAAGCCATAGTTCATTCTAGTTAGGAATTCACACTGAAACTATGCTATAAGATGCCGTTGAAGTTCACTTAGCCTTACCTCAAGTATTGCCTCATTCAGGGCGGGCCACATTTTGACCTCGCCTGGTTCTCATCCTTATCCTAATGTGGTTCGGTGTACATTTTTAACATGTCATTATACCTCCACATTTTCACGGTTTTCACTAGGTCATAAAGCAGATGCGACGTTAAGGCAAGCTAGTCCTCTCCTATATCAACTCTATAGTAAGATTATATATGATGCCAACTTTTATTTGGCTATTAAAATGGACCACGTTACTTATTTCATAGTTAAGTTTCTAGTATATCGGCATAGGAGCTGTAATCGCTCTGGGTGGCATAAAGTGATAGGCCAATGGGCCTCACGATGCCATCGGATTTCACTTGCTACTTGTATTCATTTTCGGGTTTAGTGGCAAAATACAAGTTTTTCTTATTCGGCAATCTTACTATAACTTTTATAGCGGGGAGGCCTGACTTGAAAGTCATGCATATTTTTCAGCGCCACGGCACTCGCGTTATTGTGGCGTAGTGGCAATACCTTGATAATATAAGATCGTTTGGTTATCCCTGGGGATTCTGATGAGACTCAAGGGAGGTCCAAACTGCAGTCCACTCTGGATAAGAGAATACTTTTTGGTAGGCAAGGCTAGTTAAAATGCAATGGTAGGAGGTTTACTCTTAGTATTTTGGTAAGTTTCGACTATCGGCCATTCATCTTATGCGACATGGGATTACTACAGCTCTTATCTAAGATATGATAGTCTCGAAATCTAATTGTGCATATATTTACAATTGAATTTATTGATAAAATCATATATTTTGGTCTCAAAGTAATATTTTTCCGATTCCTAATAACTTCTTATAATTTGCTAAGGGCATCACTCTTATGTAATAACTAAGTAAATCTTGATTATAGACACTTTTTGTTAGACCCTGCAACTCTTTATGTTATATTCTTTCATTCGTCCAGCTATCGTCCAGACCGCCTATCTGATCCATATAGCTCCGGCTGCTTAGCCTCTTTCAATTACTTTTTCTACAACAAATCGCTCAAACGGATCCTATTTTTCTCTCTACGCGTTCTCAAGTGGGTCTTCATTCTCTTCATTTATTTTCATGTCTATTAATTATTACAAATACTGTTCTATCCTGATCAGGCATTGCTTGCGAAGCAAATTACTCTATTTCATCGGCGATATTCCGCTTAGATCTATTTTATTCATGCCCTTCTAAGGTTGAATGTGCAATGAGCCTTGTTTCTATTCTTAAAAATAAACTTAGAGATCTGCCACAAAATGGCCGGCCATTTCATCACCTTATTAGACATTTTAACCATCATTCAGCCCCATCATCCTCTCATAACGCTCCATAGGCCGGCAGGTAATTTTTAACACATTTGGTAGCAATTGGGTTCATGCCATAATCCGCATGATGCTGAGAGTGGGCGTTTTCAAGCGTGATTTGCACTGACTTATTTTATGATTAGTCCTTTAGAAGACTTTCCAGTCGAGCAGCTTTGTTTTTTTTTATGAGAGCAAGAGTTACTTTAGGTCCGATTAGCGTACAGTTAGTGTTCCAAAAAAGAGATCAATAGGTCTCGTTTAGCCATTCTCCCCGTAAACCTTTTACATGCAGGAAGTCAAGCAATATAGGCTTTGAATATGTCTCATTATCGTCTTGACTATTCTTAGATCTATGCGCCTGCGGGCTGAGGCAAACTTCTTTCACCGTCAGACCTATAATAAGTATGGAATTTAGGGGGGGGGGGTTCTTGTATATTAAGAGGCTTGTTTCTGAAGAATCCCTTAATAATCTCATGTCAGTAAGTAAAAGTTGAGTCAATGAGATTCTTAAATTGGGCGCCCGAAATTGATAGGAGGGGGAGGAACCCCTCAGCATCTCATCCTGTAACTCCAGTGAATTTGTGTTGAGCTTTAATTTATCCTATTATAATGGATGCCGCCTAAGTACCTCACTAAGTACATCCAAGGATTTTGGCATTCTACAAATCCATCTAATTCTTAACCTAATTTTGCTATCTTACTGAATCCAACCGTAATTTAATTGGATACTTCCTGATTAAACTTTATTTGCTTGTAGATCAGTGAAACAGGTGGATTTG